AAACCCATTTTTCTTTTGGTTTTAAGCTCTTAAACGTACTAATAATGTCAGTAATTATTAAATCACACAAATATTTAAGATAAATACAACAAACAACGATATTTTAGGTCACACGAATAATAGGCGGTAACATGAATGATTTTCGCTTGAACCTAATGACTAATGAAAAAGACGGCACAGTAATTAGAAATTATTATTTATTGTAACCAATGATCAGAAAAAGGTGTTGGCTACAAGGAGCGACATAGAGTTGTTAAAACCACCAAACATTAATTAATTACTTTTTTCGATTCCCGGATTTCTGGAAATGGTTTTACTGTATCGTAGGACAAAATTACTGACCTAGGAAGGCGAAGTTGGATTTTAAGGTAATTCGAATGACGTTATCTATATAAATGCAGTAGATAACTAACCTTTTACCAAAGCAGAGAATAAAAAAGTAACAAGAATGGTCATTTTCCGCCCGTCTCTAACTTTAGATACTATATCGCGCCCTGCATATTGACGGAACGGCAACAAGGCTGTCAGCGAGTCATTCGATAACGACATGTTGATGGTTAAACTGTTCAAATTTATTTACTACGAACGTACGTCACTAATATTGTGATGGTCGTGAATTGTGTCATGTACGGCTTTTTATCTTATATTTAGATGAAGATAAATAGCCAGAGGAGTTCCTTTCCTTAAAAAACTTTATATTAAATTTCGAGAATAACTATGTCGCTCCTTGTACCTATATCTATAAATGTATCTATATATGTGAAACACCTTCTACCGGCCATTGATTATAACACACTTTGTCGTTCACAAAAGAATATTTAGCAACATTTAACATGTAACAAACATTTTAATTAACAGCGCCGTGGCTTTTCTCAGCCTCACGGGATATGCTGAGTTGTGTCCATTCAGTATCTTTAATTTTAGTTTTAATTTATTTTTTATTTTGTGAGTACAATTTAAAATTAATGGATTTTCTTTCTTTCTAATTTCACTTGTAACAAAATCCGTCTCATCCTTGTAAGGCTATCTATATATATAAGTATTTTGATAATATTTTATAAACATACATCAATATATCATCATCATTACCATCATGGTCATCATTAACATCCACGTCATCATCATCACCATCATCATTATAGCCACCATCAACGTCGTCACCATCACCACCTTCATCACCACCATCACCACCGTCATCACCACCATTATCACCATCTAATTGTTATACTTAAAGTAACTGTTTGACTTAAAACAAGAATGAGAGCGACAATAATGATATTTGAATACATTTCGTCGCCTTACTTTTTCAAACTCGTATGTTAAACCACAGTTACTGAAATCCAAAAAATGGATTGTATATACCAATTTTGCAAGCTGATTTCACATCACATTTCTTTCATATTCACACACTGACTTTTACATATTCTTAAAGTAATGCATCCAAATTAACAACCTTGATTAGAAAAATAAAAAATAAATAGAAAGTTTTGCCATCTCCTGAATAATTACTCTTTATAAGAGCTTGAGAAAGTGAGGCGACGATATTTTTATTGTCAAGGTCGTAGAATATTCTGGACCGTTATAAAAGTGCGTGTATTTTGAAGTTCCCTTTGTCTAATTGATGCACAATAAAGTTCGTAAGACTATAACATAATACTTATTTGGATAGATTGCTTTACATGAATGAGAACAATTTTGTTACAAGCACTTAAAATTGGTAATTAAGTTGATCTTTTGCTAAAACGGAGATGCGCAGGTTACTTCCCTGTGTACACTCCAATCCGGCAGGAGCCCCTTCCCACGTATACCAAAGGTGAAGGTGATGCGGTATGAACTTTTGTTATTAGGCGGTTTTTAGTTGAAATAACACTTCAACTAAAAACATCACTAGATAAGATAAATTTAAACACATTTTGTATTCCCAAGAAAACATATTTGTTTATAATAAATTGGAAAGTTACGGTATGTATTCGACGTGAAAGTTATTTACGTTGACCCTCGATGAGAAATATTGCAATTTCCACGAGTGTTTAATTTATTTTTCTTCATTTCTTGAAATTAGGGAGACGTGTAATCGGCTCCGATGAATGAGAAATTACCCACTTTTTTAATTTTTATTTATTACTGTAGCGTAGTAAAGTAGTCTAACACAGACTAAATAAATAAGCAATACTATTGAATAAAAAATTTTTAGCATTCGAGTAAAAATACAAAGTAATTGAAATTTTTTTTGAGGTAATCTGAAAACGACCCGCAACGTAACGTTTATTATTGGGAAGATAGTAAAAATGCGTCACTCTAACTGTAACTCAAAATGGTAACCTAGTTGACTCTAGCGCACTAAGTCAGGAGCTTTGAATATAAAAATGGAGACGATGCGAAGCGACCCTCATATATACCGCGAGGCTATGTATGGGTCGTTTTCAAAAGACTAAAAAATTTATCCCTTTCATTATTTGTATTATCAATACATGAATGCTAAAAAATATTTAATTAAATAAATAGATTTTTTACTTAGTCTGGGAACCACATCAAAAGATAACTTTGCTGTGCTATAGTAGTAAATAAAAATTTAAAAGGTGGGTAATTTCTCAGTCGTGACGCCCGATTCAAAGTCTCCTTAATGAAATGAAAAATAAAGAACAAAACTAATGAAAACCGCATTTTCTCTCATCCAAGATAATCTTAAATACGTCGAATACTTCCCATAATATTTCAATTTATTATAAACAACTATGTTTTCTTGGGCATGTAATACGGGCAGTATAATAACTAACGTAATCGTCATTTTTAGTGAGATTAAGTTATTAACGTAGAATATGCTTATTATGTTTATGTACCAAGTCTTTTAGTTTTCTGAAATTTGGTGCTGCCCTTCAGATTTGAAGATTATAAAAAGCTGCTCTATTAATGGTACTAAAAATAGAGCTCAATTAGTACTTAAATAAGAAAACATATTTAAAATTCGCTGAAAAATAAAATAGTTGGAAGTCTGTAATCACATTACCAATGTAATGACACCATACAAGCTATTGTACGCACTTACTATCTTTGCTAAATATTGACGAAGTATCTCCCTACCGTTAACTTCAACCATTATTATCTCTGGTGTCAGTTGAGATATCGAAAAACGAATATCACAATATCAATATTGAAAAATTAAACAAAAAAATTGGCGTCAATTATCCTGTTAAAGATAGGTGCTGTATTTTATTCCAACTTTATAAGACTCACGTCTCAGAATCGAGTCGTTGAGTCAGTGGAGTCCCGACGTCCCTTGTTTAAAAAAAAAGTACCATTATGAGACTCGAAAGGGCGACAGCTCCTTGCTGACACATTAGCATAGCCTCAAAAAAGATAAAGTCGTCAGCATTTTGAGCACACTGTTGCGGGGACACACTTTGTCTATTTAATCTAGCCCTATCTACTTAATTGTATTCCTTTCTTGTATTTTTTAAATAAAATTAAGTAACTATTTGATTTGTTTTTTTTTTTTTGTTTTGCTATTTTACTTAGGGTTTAATGTTTTAAAGTTTTAGATGATAATTAATAATTCATGTCATATGTTGTGTCTAGTAAGGAACAGCTGACTTTTAGGAATAAATACGTGAATCACATGTAAAGACGGAACGGTTACATACTATGGTATCTGCGCCTGTTTAGTTGAGCGCCATCTATGTATGACTGTATGAAACCAGAACACCTAGCGACGCGCTCCCGTGCATGGGGGATTTTGACGCAGGCGCTGTGGTCGGCGTATGTCCTTTGTTCGAAACAAATCAACATTGTGCTCCGAGTTTGGATCTTTCTAGTTTTATTTCGTTGATAATAAACATTTTGTGTGTGAAATGTGTTGTATTATTGTTGCGCTGGGTGCAAATATTGTGTAGTACATGTGGTACATGTACAAAGTGTCCATCGTTTCAACTAAGCTTTCGCTGTAGTTCATGATCGAGCTTTACGCGGATTGTACGCATGAAACCCTTGAGTGACTTTTTTTTCGAAACTGATGTTAAGGATATGGGCCCCGACATGGTGAGTTTTATGGGTTTTATCTTGTAGGTTGTTTCATAGAATCACTGTTTTAAGTCATGAAATGACGAAATTTAGGTTTTTTCTATGCAACAGGTTCGTTTTTGTTTTGTTTACTTGTCACCGGTGTCCGCCATTTCTGGTACGGAATTCGTTTACCGGTGGTAAATTAATTCTCATATATGAGGAATATGTTCATAATCGCGGAGGTTATGCGTTCTATAACGCTTCTGAGCGCGATTCACGGCGTCTGCACTGTTCGAACGACTTATAGGTCAGGCGAAATGAAACATAAATATATTTGGTCGCCATCATTTCAGCCATGGTGTGACCAACGAAATAAGCATCACTACATATAGCACACTTGTATATTTGTGCCTTCATGAACTTTTGTGTAACTCACTTATGCTTATTCAAGTCAGAAATTATCGTATTAAAAAAAATGCATTAACTCATAATTCATTCATATTGCTATGTATGTATTTTGGTGGTATAAGTGTACAAAAACAAACATCCTTATAGGATTTAGAGATTGTTTGTTTAATTGATTTTAGAAATATTTTTCAATGAACCTCTTTGATTCTTATTGTAATGTATTATTAGTAACCAATGAACATATTCAAGTTAATATTAAAAAGAAGATTGTGCCTAAGTGCCTAATAGGGTACTAATTAGTGTCAACCATTATTCTCAATTACAAGTATTATTTAACATGGAATGAAAAGGGTTTTACAAGTTTTATAGTAAAAGTATTTAACCACTGTAGTAGACATATTTACAAACTACTTCTTTGTACATAATAGTATAAAAATGTCTAGCCTATTGTTTTAATTAGGTTCTATTTAAAGCATTGTTATATGTTATGGCTAAGATGGAAAATGGTAGTAAGTGCGTAAATAGAACAAACTATTGTTTTTAAATCTTAATTTTGTGACACAAGATAATGTAATGATTGATTTTATCTTTAGATTGCACCTGCTGCAAAAAAGCTATGGGACAAAGGCCCTGGAGCTGGTGGTGACAGCAAGGGTCCTCCACACTTGCCTCCTTTGCAGCTCAATCCAGAGCAGATGTGGCGAGATCCCACCTGGTCTGCGCAAGGTTTGTTACTTTTTTGTTCTATTTAATAAATCACTACCCACTGTTGTTTGTTTTACTTAGTAATTTATGCCATATCAACACTAAATTAAGGTATTTTTTCATGCTCTGTGAGTGAATAAAATAAATAATACCTAAATAATAAAATAGAAATACCATTTGTAGTAAATAAAATCATTTTACTCATTAATAACAATTCTTGTTATTACAATTATATAATATTATAATTATTATTGTAATACATAATATTTTAATATTGATGGCCTCCATGGTTGAGTGGCTTGCACACCGATTTTCATGGTATCACCATCTCTGAGGTCTCAGGTTCTATCACTGGCCCGCCGGGTCAGTGTAGAAATTAACTTTTCTATATTGTCTCGAAGTCTGGGTGTTTGTGGTTATGTCATTGTTTCCGATTTCCATTACACAAGTGCTTTAGTTATTTACTTTGGGATCAGAGCAATGTATGTGATGTTGTCTAATATTTATTGAATATACTAAATCTATGATTGTACATGAAATGATGACAAGTGCATGATATATGAATTGCATAATTTCCCGTTTTAGCTGTTGAACACAATGTAGGTGTTCCAATGATGAGCACACGGCGCGGTGTGGCGTTCCCTGGTGGTGATGCCGGCAGTATCCTATCACCGCGCGATACCGGCGGCCTCGGTGTCAAGATGGTTGAATATGTGCTAGGTGGATCACCTACAGGTAAGGGAATGTTGACTTTACTCCAGCAGACTAAATGTTTTCTGTATAAGGAGGAAGTCCTGAAGTAGGTGTTATTTGCTTAAACAGAAACAGGTGGAGCTGCATCTGGCGGTAGTAGCGAAAAAGCTGTCGCAGGAGTGGTAGCTGGATTGCGCGGCATGGTTCTTGAAGAAAGACCTGAAGACAAATCAGCATCTCCATTTGATAAAGATCTGCATGAACTACATGAACATGGACCACTGCCAAATGGACTGCACAACGGCCAAGAAGATGATAAAGCTTTCAAGTGAGTATCCATGGTCTAAGCATTTTTATATTTCCATTGTATTTTATGTAAAATCTCACAAGTTAGTACTAACCTCAACTAGATTTTTTAAAATTTAAACTAAAGGGAAATTATTGAACATTACCATAGTATTTGTCATTCATAACCATCATTATATATCCTATATACCATCATCATACATCACTTTAATTAAATGCTAAAGGTGTAGCATGATCATCTGTTGCTATGAAACGAATGTAACAACTCAAAGACCATCGTGAAGGTCGCATAACGCGAAGTGTTTAAATGCTCGCCTTGGCGGCAGCAGCGTGTTTCTAGCTGGTAGGTCGGTCGGGCAATAACCGCGCTTCGTGGATCATGGCCTCTGTCAATGCCACTTCCCCCCAACACCGCACTCTTGCCTGCCGCGCCTAAGTTGCGCCGGCGCACCTCAGACGTTGACTAGACGCAATCTTTTTATCATATCGTTATTGCAAAACATGAATCATATGGTAAACAGATTAAATTTAGACACCTTTTTTTTTGTTTTATATTGAATTGTCAAAATAACACATTGTAAACATATTAACATTGTGAAAGACAAATGTTTACTTTTTTTCATTTAACAGTAAATCTTAGTTAAATTTTTACTGAATTTTGCAAGTTAGATTTATAACACTAACACTTTACGATACTTCTTGGTGTAAATTTCAGCAGTTGTATAGCAACATAATAAACTATGTTGTTTGTTGCAGCCGCACTCCTGGATCGCGGCAACCGTCACCGGCCGAGGAGGAAAGTGGCGGTATGGGCGTTGGTGGTGGCGGTATGGGCGCAGGGAGTGCCGTGCGCAACGGCGGCGACGCTACCCCTTTTCCGCTGCTGCCGCCGCACGCACTACCGCAGCCACAACCCCCACTGCACCACTTGCCCCACCTCAGCCACCCGCAGGTATTAATCTACCCTTTTATATACAAAGTCCCTTTCACTTAGGGTAAGTCATGATATTTCAAATTATAGTAAACTTGTCATAATATACCAAAAACAAACAATATTTGTTTTAGTTGTAATTTGAAATAAAAATTACACTATGTTAAGTAAAAAGAAAATTCAATGATAAGATAAAAATAAATAACCCCAATTGCTTGATGCGTAAAACGGAATATTTATCCATATTTGTATGTATCGCGCATCAATACGAGTTATATACACCTTTATATGGTTGTATTCTTTTGTTTTGAGCATTGCAAGATGTTTTTGGAGTAATTCTTCAAATTTTGTTTCGTTGCAGTTGAGTTTATGCTTTGTTGTTGATTTTTTGTTTAGTTAGTGTAGATTTTTTGTTTTATAGTTTTTTGATACCTTAATAACATAATAATTTATTACTTTTATTTTATTTATTATTTGTTTTTAAAATATTTTCTGTAAATCGATTCTTTCTTCATTACAAATTATTTAAAACGATTTTTTTCATTCGATTTAAATTACTACATCTCTAGAAACTTCAAATCTCAAAAGTCACTGAAATCATGCTATGTGAAATGATCTATAGTAAAGCTGTATGTTCAATCGAGTTGGTGTTATGGTAATTCGTTAATTCTTAGCAATATTTCCTATTATTTATTGCAAATTTTTGTTCTATTGTAGTGTGTGTTTAGCACAATTTCTGACAGGAGACATGACATCTTTATGTCCCACCGCCGACAACGCTATAGTGATGTTAAGGCTACTAAAGGTGCTTTTTCATGGATGAGGCGAGACGAGAATTGAAATTTGTGTGGCAAAACTCGATTCTCTCTTAGCGCATTTTCAGTGGAAATGGTCTGGATTGGCAAGGATGGGCGAGGCGAGAATTGAAATATTTGTTGATGTAATATTGAACCGTATTGCTGTCTGCATACAGTATTGCACCCTGCAACGGAACCACGATTTCTCGCGCAAAACGCCGTGGCTACTAATATCAATCTAGTACAGTAGAGCTCCTGAAAGAGTTTATCCAGGGAAGTACTGTCACCTTACCTATTTCTGCCACCTAGCATTGCTATATTTCGGTTTTGAAGAGTTAGGGTGCTGGTGAAATTACAGGCATACGAGCCTCATGAGATTTTGCAAGTTACACAAATTAACTTATCTCAAGGTGACAGGCGCAGTGGCAGTGTCCCTCAGATCTTTGCGATTTAAAGCTCTGAATGGCACTGCAACTGCTATGGTCGCGGACAGGCGTGTAGCTTCATACCTTGCGCACGACTTGTTCGTCCTGGCACTCTGTATAATAAATAACTGAACATTGTGGAGTACACATGATTTGAGATAAAAAAGAAAATACGGCTTCATCTGTTTATTCTTCCGTTAACATATTTAATATTAATAATTACGAGACATCCTAGCTTTAGCCGCGTGTTTATCGCTAGACGAACTGAACAGTACTGAATCATCACTATCCCAACCACAGCGCGAGCTGGCGTCAGCTATTATTAATGGCAATTTTTAGTGGAAATAGGCAGGCGAGATTTCTATTCTCGTCTCGTCTCGTCTCGTCTCGTCTCGTCTCGTCTCGTCTCGTCTCGTCTCGTCTCACCTCGTTTCGCCTCACCTCGTAGGTGGAAGACCATGTTCAGGCTGAGCTGTATTAAACAAACTTTGACTGAGCTAAAATGACGAGCAAAGTAAGTTTTTCGAATTTACAAATCGAACTTTGCCTACGTTCAAGCAAAAAATTAATTCAAATTTTATATTTCGACAAACTTCGTTTGTACATACAAAGAACTTGCTTAGCTCGCTTTTTGCCTAATCGAAGTCAAAGTTTTATACATTTCAACCTTACGCTCAACTCACATTGGCGCAGAGTCGAAGCGTAGCGTCGCGTCATGTTTTGTCCCATTAGTGCGCCCGGATCACAGTGTGATCGGCGTTTGACACCTCACTGCGCTCAAGTAACGCGCGTCGACGCTAGACTCCATATTTGCATAACACAAATTTGTACCTTAATAATGGGAAAATAGGGATGAATATGCTATAGGCGAAAAACATGACGCGTCGCGACGCTTCGACTCTGCGCCAATGTGAGTTGAGTCTAAGGGTCGTATTCTAGAACTCTACTCAATGCTCAAGTCAGGATTTGAGCAGACTTGAGTATGATTTCAAGTACTGGAAATACGACCCTAATGGCAAGGACTTGAGTATGATTTTCAGTGCTCACTGCAATACTCAAGTCCTGACTTGAGTATTGAGTAGAGTTCTGGAATACGATCCTTAGAATCGCAGATGCGTTTCATCAAGTGTACTGTATGACTTTTTCAGTTTGAATGCCATAAAAAGTGCTAAACTTAGCGATGTACTATCTTATTTCAGCATCACCCGGGGATGTTAGGCGTGGCTCCATTGCAAGGACTGCCGCATCCGCAACATCCGCAGATACATCCAGGTAACTAACATACATGACGTAATCACTGATCATCAAAGAATTATTGAGATGTAACCTGATAATATTATATTGCTAATTCGCAATTTATTGTTGTTTTTTATTATTTACATTACTTTCCTAATACATTTCCATTCTTTCCAGGAATGACTTTAAACGATTCTATGAATCAACACATCGAACTCCTTTTACAAATGGAGCAACATCCTCAGTTTGACAACAATAGTTTCGCAAATACGCAACAAGTAAGTTTTTCTCATAAGTTACCGATAAGTTATTGTAAACTATGAGCACATCTTGCTCAAAAGAATGAAGCACGTTAAGTATGTTGCCTATTAACAAAAATAAATTTAAAACAACTCAGTATTACACAGTTAATCTCATTCGACGATACTTTAATCGTATGTTTTAATTTTACCATAATATTGTGTCTGGCAAAAAAGAGGATCAATTTGCGGTTCTTGACTTTTTATGTCGGTGAAGTGATTGCCGCCTATGCATATTAAGAACCACGCAAATGGAAACTGGATTCTATGATAATATTAAACCGCAAAGGTTTAATAAAATTATTGTAGGTTTAGAATGTCGACGATGACTATTTTTTTAAAGTACGAGGGGTGATCCAAAAGTAATGATAATGAGGTATTTATAATACTCATAAAAATCTAATAAACACTGATTTTGCTTACTAGTATAGTACCGTCACTAGATGAGTTTAAAAAAATCTTTAAATGGGTCGTCGTTTCTGGAAGGTACGTTTAATTGAGTCAGAGCAGTCGACGAGATAACGCGGGACTGGAGAAAAACGAAGCAAGGGCTGTCATCAAGTACCTCTGCTCGAAAATATGTCTACCAAAGACATATACGCCGATTTGGTGGAAACATTGGGAGACTCTGCTCCTCCATACTCTAAAGTCGCACATTGGTGCAAAGAGTTTAACCTGGGTAGAATACCCACGATAGATGAACATCGCGAAGGCCGCCTACCAGGTCCCTCACCGAGGAAAACTTTAAGAAATCCAAGATGTTGTCTTGGCAGACAGTAGAGTGACCATCAGGCATCTAGTTATCTAACAGGGATCTCATATGGCAGCCTTCTAAGAATTCTCACCATTGAAATGCATATGAAAAAGGTCTCGCACCTTGGGTACCGCGAACGCTGACTGAGGCGCGAAAGAAAATACGGATTGACATTTCAAGGGCTAATCTTGGAAAGGTTCAACCTGACAAAGAGAATCTTTTGAGGCGATTTGTGACTATGGAACGGAAGCTGGGCCAATCACTTTGATCCTGAAATGAAACATCAATCGATAACTTTGAAACAACCATCGTCACCGACACCGAAGAAATTCAAAATGTCAAGCTCGGCGGGAAAGGTTATGGCGTCCATTTTTTGGATTTTGACGGAATTATTATGGTGGAGTATTTGGAAAAGGGAGCCACTATTACGTGCTCTTACTACGCATGCCATATAAAAAGATTGCGCGAGACTATTAAAGAAAAAAGATGGGGCAATCTGCGAGCAAGGTGTTGTTTCACAACTCACCCGCAAACAAAACTGAAGTTGCGTTGGCTGCCGTTCAAGAAGCAGGGTTCGAACTGATCGAATATTCGCCCTATTCTTCAGATCTAGCCAAAGTGACATACCTTTTCCTCAGCTCAAACAACAACTCAAGAGCAGGAAATTTAAAGAAGACAGCAAAGTGATGGCGGCTGTAGAGCAATTTCTGGACGGACAAGAAAAGTTTTTTTTTTTTGTAAAAGTTTCGAGGGTCTGGAAAATCGATGGACCAAATGTGTTAACCGTGGAGGAGATTATGTTGAAAAAGAAAAACACAAACATAACCATTGTTTTCAATGCTCATTATTATTATTTTTCCATCACCCCTCGGAATTAATGCAGTTTGATTTCTAGTCTACAAGTTCGAATACTGTACTTATTTATCTTTCAGAACTATGTACTTTGCACCTAATATTTGTAATAAAGTACTTTTATATAATTCCGAGACAAATATAGCCAACAACAAGATTGACATGACATAAAAAAAAAATTATATTCCAAAAAAAAGGAAACAAACCAATCACAATTGTTAAAAGATAATGTTTTTACAACAGCTGACATGTTTCACACATGACGTGTACATTAGTGTTAAAACACTAAACGGGATACATATAGATTCCAATCTGAAGCCTATGACTTTTTTGTTTAATAGTCATACTTGTTAAGAATGGAAGAGGATAACTAGTTATTAACGAAAACAGCTAGCCAATTTGAAAATACAAATAATTAATTTAAATTTTGGTTCAGGTGATATGAAAATACACTACTCAACAAATTCTAGGGAACAAGCTAATTATATTAACTTATTAACTTATTATTAATTATTATATTAATAGAAAAAGTACTGGTTACTGAAATTTATAAATGTAAAACTGTTTTCCATTGTAGTTCGAAATTTAAAAAATAAAACATAAAAGGCAAAGCATTTTAATATTAGGAGGGAAAACCTGGGGAAAACCCTTAAACTATGGAAACCAAAGGACATGTTATGTTGACATATATAAATCAGACGTTATATGTATATGATCCATTTCGACATTGAAAACATAAACATGATATTGTCTTTGTTTAACTACTGCGCACGGTGATTCACGCTCCATACTAAGGCGGTCATAAATACGTAACTCCGAAATTATTATTATTTTTTTATTTTATTACGTTAAAATATGATTAGGTAAACGTAAATTAATAAAATTATACATTTTAAAAAATATTTGACAATATTTAGGTGTAAAAATGTCTCGCAGTAATTTTGTTTTTAGACGATGTATCTAAAACATTTTATACTGCGACTTTTAATGGTAAAACTGTGTAAATAATGATTATTTGTATTAACAATAACCACAAATGAATAAATTAAAACAATAAAAATACATAAAAAAGTTCATTTTACAAAATACAAACAAAACACAAATTATACCAAAATACATTAAATCTCAACAATATTAACTTGAAATACATAACAAGTCTAATACAGCTTTTGACAGTACACCTTTTTTTTTAACAGGTAACTTTCGTAGACCTGTTATGAAGGGATCTGAATGAAGAAGCAGCCTATTTACTAAATCTGTGTTGGTCACAATGCGACTCATTTTACGCGTATGATTTTTTCTAAAAGACTTGATGTATTTGTTAGTCGCTTCAGCTGCTTCTTCAGACAACTCTCCGATTGACAACAAACCGTAATCTATAACATTAGCACCATGAATTAGAACTTTGTGAACGGAAGCAGGCATGTTATACCACGGATACTCGGCAACTAACTGCCGAGCCGTCTCTAAAGCGAACTCTTCGAAGTTCGTCTTATTAATATTATATCCCGAATTTAAACATTGAAGGATGATCCAGCAACGATCTAGGAGATCCTTCTTGATCCCAGTAATTTCAGCGGAAATTTCTGAATTCGAGAAAAACCGCCTGGCTGTATTACCATCGTTTGATGTTCCGCTTCCGCCACTTTTAGGCTTATCCACTATAAGCCCTAATCTTTCTCTAAATTGAGTCTGAACATATGATTTTTTTGCAGCAACAAGCATTTTGTCATTAGCGGACCTAGCTTGCCATTTCCTAACATCTAACTTGTACGCGACATGAACAAAATATTCAAAAAAACGTATTAACGCGTGAAGAGGTGATAAACCAAATTCATATTTACTCTCATCGACTTCCTTATTTAAACATTCGTCAATTTTGTTCATTTCACTGGGCAAGGCGTTACAAATAAAACATTTTGATGAAGAAACACCACTAAGTGCATTACACACTTTACCATCTACCATAGTAAGTTGCAAACAATGAGTAATGCGATATTCGCGATCTTCTTCCTTGAAAACAGTAGGCTGCAAGTTCCTTATTTTATCTTTAAAATGAGCTTCTTCCTCAACTGACACTGCAGTCGATTCCTTTAAATATCGGAGGCGTATAGGACGACAGTATCGAGTTGATGAAGGACGAGGATTTTTTCACAAAACTACTGAATTTTCTTTGTTATCTGTTGTCAAAACAAGCTGAAGTGGCACATACGAAGTAACAAACAGGCTACTGTCTTCAAGAGTGGAGTCAGAAAAACACTGTTTATATTCTGAATGCCCTGTACTGCCATCGAAACCCCATTTCCCTATCAAAGATATCTTATCTAGAGACTCATTAGGTACACTATCCAAAACATCTTTTTGAGACTTGAGAATCCGATTGGCAGTATGATCTAATAAACTTTGAAGTTCGACTTCGGCGGATGATTCTGTAACAGTAATATCTGAAGGATAACAGTGTTTTTTAGATTCCACGACACTTTGGTAAGATGGGAAAATGGTTTTTGAAAACTTATTGTCTATAAATTTCTTTACTAATATATATTGATGTCGAGTTAACTGAGCTTCAACAATGAGCGATAAAACTTCGCTAGAATCGATTTCAGGACAAGACAAGCTATCGGACGCATTGAGCAATGACTGTACAAGAGAAGGGTCTTGGTTAGACAAACTAGCCAATCTTCTCCTTTTTGTACGTTTACTGGTGTCGTCAAAGTTAATTCTCGGACGGCCATGCGATGAAGAAGTTGATGGTTTAACTTCGTCAAAGCTCTGAGATACACGTAACTCAGTTCGCTGTACATCAATATTTTCAACGACATGCAGCCAATCTGAATATTTTTCTAAGAATTTAGATCTAGTACGATTCGACTTTGCCCAGTAGTGGGAAATTCGTTTACAAATATTCTTAATTTTAAGGCTTAAAGTCTCTAAATCAATATTTTCGATGTCGTCAGAAAGGGATGATGTTTCGGTCAAAGTGCTCAGGACGTGTTGCATTTTTTCATTTGGATTACCCACTTTAGAGTGCCAAATATCAAAAATTGTCATCCTCGATACAGAACATTTGAAAAATGTACCTAAAACAATATGAAAGCTGAACTTAAAAAAAAATTAAAAATTCAATACTATGGACATGCATACTTTGACACCCCTTTAAGCCAAGAAGAGGCAGCAAGATGCAAATGAAACTTATAGCTCTTAATAAGGACATATTCCTTATTCAAAAACCATATACCTCAGGTGCAGCTCAGCGCAGCCAAAAGTTGTAGGTCTAAAGGAAATTAAGTTATGCCAAAAATTTTCACCAAAAAACTGCCTTCAATAAAAAAATTATATAAAAAAAATATGCATAAAAAAAATTAAAAAAAATTGATAATAAAAGTACATACCATGCTCTTGGATCTCCATGCTTTCACAACACGTAAACACTTGATTTGGAATAGTGACACTCAAAAACAAAGTGATTAGGTTTCGATGACTCACACGTGGTGATAATTAGTCTCGCGATGCGCTCACTTCCGATGCACAAAAGTGAATGATAACGTGACCTAATTACATTGATATTTATAGTTTTTGGAAGCTTGTTAACTAGTTACTAACTTAGTGAGTTGATCTAACCGGGATAAGCCAATGATTTTTTTTGATTTATGGCCTATGGGGGAATCACAGTGCTGCGTGCCGTCGTAAGCCAAGAGATAGCATAACATTGGTTACATTGGTCTGTGCCAAACACTAGACTATGGAAACCAAAGGACATGTTATTATATTGATTTATATATTGACATATATAAATCAGACATTATATGTATATGATGCATTTAGACATTGAAATTATAAACATTTCATTGTCTTTGTTTAACTAATGTCGAACACGGGAATCGAAAATACGTATCGTCATCTTAAATGCCAACTGTGTTCATTTCGCAGTAGGTACATGAGGTACATGATATGGTTGTCAAAAGAAAGTACATCAAATGTCAAAACAAATGTTTTTCCAAGGGTTTTATTGAATTATTTGCATGGATAGTAATAAAATGGACTAAAATATTGACAGTGAGAACAATTAGGTATTAATAAAAATGCGTCGCTGCAGCATTAAGGGATGTGGCATTAGCAAAAGTGAAAATCAACCGAATGTAACATTGAACAGGGATGGTTATTTTACACAATAGCCCAAATATCTCGTGTAATTAGATTTATTTAAGTAATTTATTCATAAATTTTGCCAAATTTTGCTTTGGTTCATTCAGATTGCCTACTTGTTTGTATATTTTGATGATTGTTGTTAATGATTGTTTTGTGATAGTGTTGTTCTTGTAAGCGTACATATTACCGATATTATGTTATTAAAACAATTTACTACGAGGTTTTTATTATTATTTTTACTATTTCAAGTTTACCTACAAATGAAAAAGGAAAAAAGTATGGTTGGAAATCGTAGGACTGTCGAATATAAGCATTGGATCAAAAACAAATCTTCATTTATTCGTTTCATTTTGAGAGTCATTTTTTAACAGAACTTTGAATGTAACTAGATTACATAATGATGCAAATCCATCATTAGGTTTATTGGTAAATAATATTATATTTAATTTAGATTCAACAAAACTCATTCATTTACTAGGCATACTCAGTTCCTGAAAACAAAATTATCCACTCGTTTCCGATTTTTTCTCACTGACAACTCTAATACTAAAAATTACTATTTTTTAAAGCCAGTAATACAATGACATGTTTATCCAACGTTGCCGGACGAAGGCCAACACCAACGTATAGATAGCCTATTTGCCTTGTCTTGCCATTGTTCGATGTCACTCGCCTAGCTGACCGAGTGAAGGCGAGCGCCAACGTGTACAGAGCTCATTTGGAGCTGATCACAAATCAAAGGCGCTCGGCCAATAGTGTTCACACGTTTGTCCGCCCGCACATGAAATGCATACTGGTTTTTTAACGCAATTCAAAAAAATTGCCACAATTAACACAAAATAAAGAAAGTACATATAAATTAACAAAATGTGACTGAGTGACTGATTGTTCGCAGAAATAGAACAAGATATTCCCAAATGAAATATTGATCTACTTTAATTAAACGTTTTAATTATACTTTGATTACAGTAAATTAAAGAAAGAAAAAATAACAGTTTCAACATTCAAGCCGTACATTTACATTTCGGTAATGACTTGTCGATAGATTAAAGAAATCCGCCATTTGTAGCGTTAAATTTTTGTTTAGATACGCACGTTCATTCTATAGTTAGGGCAGCTCCTTTCCTTTATTTTTTTTTTTCATCCTCTAAGGGAAAACCTTATATGGGTGTAACGCACAGGATTTTGTAATGTAAGCAATTTAGTTTATGATCACTATACGTTTGTTTTTATTCTGTTAAACAATTTTTCTTTGATTTCGTTAATTTTTGTTAACGAAATCACATATCACATCATGCGAGAAGAGATGCTTAAGGCTGTGGGTGTGTTTTTAGGGTAGAAAGACTGCTGACCTTGCACCAACCACTTCGTGCAAGGTCAGCAGTCTTTCGTTAGTGACTAAACTGCTCCAAAAAAAAAAAACGCAAAGTCTATCGTTCATACTTGGAGACTGCTAAGAGTAACAGCTCTACGTCGTGGAAATCGTGGATGTCGTTTATAGTGGGCTAACGCAGATTTGTGCTGGACCGAAACTCAGTGGGCACGTGTGCGTTTTTCTGACGAGGCTTGTTAAGGTTTCCATCTCATTCATTGAAGAGCCCATACGGAACGCCCTCCTCCAGCCTATCCCCCATCGGCTAGCCCGTGCTGGTTTTGGTCCGCGCCGGCCGAGGCCGGTAGCTCCCATATCTGGGAGTCGTTCCCCTATCCGCCACCTGGGGACGCGTCTAAGCGTCGGTAAGGCCATGCTGAAGCAATCCGTCGCGACATATTGCTCGCGCCTGGTCCCTTCAGATCAGTCTTGCCGTGCATGCCTCCACTCGCTCCGCATACCCGTATAGTCGCACTTGGCGTTCCGAAGCATCCCGAAGGCTGCCGAAGTATCTCCAAGGTTGCCGAGACATCCCCATGGCTGCCGGCTCGATATCCCTAAGCATACCGCAGCTTTATTTTACAGCTACGATCATTATCATTGAAATTGCAACTATAATATCATAATCTTATGTGTATTACTTACTATTCGTAATTTTTAAGTTTACTCAATGTCACGATGTTTGACCATCTATTTAGACTAATAACATTTAATTATTGTTGTGATTACTCCAGTAGTTATAATTATTAATCCAAAAATCGAACACTAAAAAAAAATTAATTCGATCCGGCTGTTTTGCACCAACGCCTTCCAGCAAATCGTGCCAGACGCTTTGCCAACTAAGCCACGGAACTTTTATATGTACTTTTATATTTAGGTATTTTTATATGTACTTGTTGCACATCTTTGTTTTTGTCTTTAACGACTTTTTTGCTGTAGAGCCATATTACTTACTATTCTTCACCTAAAAGACGCGGTCACAGTAGGAAAGACTTGGCCTCGCTTATTCTTATTTAAAACGATAGTTTGCATCAATACAAACAAGAAATGCTATTCGACAAAATTACTTAAAGTTACTACTGGTTTCTAAGATAAGATAGTTTTCAAGGTTGTATTGGTTGGTTTGCATAATTATGAATGTTTTTTTTTATAGATGGGTCCCATAACGTTCGAATTTCTATCTCCTTTCTTATGGTTAAGTTACCAAAAGCCGAATACTTATTACAATATTTTCTGTGGTGAAGTCATTCGTTTTATTTTTAATCAATATAGGTCGTACGTACTTACGTAAATTACTTCAAGTGTACTTACTTAATATTACATTGTACTAAAATAGCAAAACATAATATTATTACCGTGGAATTCGTAGAATACTTAAGATAACTTTCTTATTTAATTCTTTTTTGTTTGTTGTAAAGTGCATGTTTTAACTACTGTATAAATTTATTCCGTGACGCGATCATTAAGGAAAGCTGTACTGGACACAATATAGAAGGTGACTTTGTTTCAGTATGGCGGCGTCGGTGGCGTGGGAGGCGTTGGCGGCGTTGGTGGTGTGGGAGGTGCGAGCGGCGGCGTAGGCGTAGGTGGCGTCGCAGGTGGAGCCGCCAGCCTCGTCAACGGCGCTAACGTTGTACCCCAGCAGCCCGACACCACGCAGCATCATCAACCCTTCGATGTACAGGTCAGTGCTACTTCTAATCATCATCAGTTATACAGTGATTTACTCGAGTCTTACTAAATTTTCAAAATCAAAATGATCATATCGAGGTGACACCCCTACAAACATCGCCACAGTGACATGGCGATCGTTATACATACAAGATCTCTCGTAAAACGTGAAAATGCCAAGGTGTAGCGATACACCTTGTAAAAATTAGAGTGAAAACAAAATTTTAAAACCAGTGAGATAACATTCCATCGGCTATTTGCATTTTTAGTTACTATTTCTATTATTATTCAATGTTTTCTTTTTGTCTCCATAGAAATTTTTAGGCTCAAATATAGTGATGTTCATTTAAGATGATTGATGTTTAGCGACAATAATTTTTTACTGAAATGTTTGAATTTCTTACAATGATTTTTTAATTAAAGTCCCTTAAATATCGAAGCGAAAAGCATTCACCTTAAATTAATTTCTTTTATTTTATTATTATTATTATAACTTTAACACAACTCATATTTCGGATAACCGTTTCAATTTCATGTCAATTTGTATGTTGCTGTTGCTTTAAGAAAAATGTGTGTGTATTATTGTTTTAGATATTTCAATTCCATTATACTCGTAGATTAAATGTAGAGTATTTTTAATTTTTAAGTTTTTCCAAAGAGTTTAAAATAAAAGAAGGTTGGATTGAAGCTGCAGGAAAATCGAAAGATTGGTTTCCTTGTTACTATTTCTGACTTTGTTTCAATGTCCATAGCAAATGTATTTAAAAAATAAATAAAATGAAATACAATTATAGAAAACTACATAAATCCTTCATAAAAAAACAACATAATTTAATTGATTAAACTTGTTGATGGTTCGAGTTTACTCTTGACAGTGACAGCTTCACCAACCCGTGGTAACGTGTCATGGAAAGTTGCACTGGCGACGATCGCCATACTTTTTTATATTATTCTTATAAAACTGACACTGGTCCAAGCCTAGTGGCCGCCATTAAGAAAATAATAATTTATATTAATATATTAATTTCATGAATTATGTATATTAGTTTAATCAAGTATGAAAAGTGGAATATTTTTTTTAATATTATAAACAGCCACATGGTTTCCAATTATCGATTAGGTAGGACCACATCCCTCGTTGAGTAGCGTCAGTTTAAGGTTAAAAATTCACATTCAGTTGCGGGCACGAAACCGTTGCGATTGCGGAACGGACCGTAAATAGAGGTGTTGCCATTACAAACAAAAATATTTTGTGAATCGCACAGTCAAGAGCACATCAAGCTTGACACTTTGTACTTTGGACGGTTCTTATCGTATAGAGTTGGATTTAAATCTAAAGTGTCAGGCTTGATGTGCTCTTGACCCTGTACCAATATCTAAAATACATGTATGCTTTGTTATATTGTGTTTAAATTGTCTGTACATGTATTATGCGCAAACAAAATACTGTCGAGACGTTACTCTTTTTAAAACGAGGTACACAATTTGGCCGCCCTTTTGTTTTTTGATGCCTTTACGTAAAAAACGCTTAATTTAAGGGATAACTAGCTTTGGATTACCGATCAAGATTGGAAACGAAGTTCAACACGCAGTGACCGATTACCAAATTTTTGCCAGCTATGCAACGCCTGGCAGAAAGTAGGTAGTAAATAGAAGAAAGGATGGGTAGTTAGGTAACGTTGCTGGGAATGAGCGTTGATGGTGTAGGGCTTCGCGTTTCCTTGGTGTTTCATCTTAATGACGTAGTGTCGTCAAGGGTATGAATAATATTAATCGACGAGGTCATTATTCCGTAATAATTATTACTCGTCATATCAAAAGTAACACCGGTTCCTAACTTGAAAAAAAAGTTTTGAATCGATGAAATGTCGTCTTCAAAGTTGTATGTTCACATTTTGTAATTCTGATTCCATCGCCTAATATAGGTACAATATTTCGTAATCATCGAAAACCTAATATAAATGTATTTGATATTACATATTTTAAGAATCGCAATCATTACTATCGGCATTGTATTGTGTACTGAAAAACAATAACATATCCATTAGGGCCATTTTAATATGAAGCTATTATTGTTATACGCCTTTCAACCTCTAAATCGTCTCGCTAGTGGTACTGCAACTGTTATGGGACAGGTGTGTAGCTTATCATCAGGCGCACGACTTGTTCGTTCCGTCACTTGATATTATAAAAATAAAGAAAAAATTAAGCAGTCAAAATAGTAAAATGTACCCGCGAAGAAGTCCGGTAAGTTTAATTATACTCGTAGTTGTGTTAATTATCTAGTAAAACCTATACACTTGAATTCTCTTGTGACATGTATCTAAGGTTGTTACTAGACGGACTGCATGCGCGAAGTGATATGTATAACTATCGAAACCGACTGCATTCGGTCGATACTGACTTCAAGCAGATATCGCTGCGTGTCTATTTCAAAAACTTAGTGTATTTGTTGATGTTGAAATGGAATATGTTACTTATAATTTTGGAACTGTATTCAGAACATTTATGATTCCAAACGCTAAGTTCACTTTTAATTCAAGAAAAAAAAGCTATCGAAATCCTTTTCATTTGTCTACAAATTAAGTCTATAATTCCCGACTTGCGGTGGAATTTGAGATGTAAAATGTAAACAAAAGTGATATAAAACCGTAGAGAAAAGTCTCAACGATCGTGTTTTTATTTTACTATTAGTTGATTAAACCCTCTAGTAGTCGTTACCTTTTGCCGTGACTATTAAAGATTATATTAAAAAAGGATATATTCAAAATGTCAACTGCTACATTTGATTTTCGGACAATCGTCCACAGTGACTGCAGCCGACGCATGCAGTTAAATTCTCGACCGCATACAATAGCTGCAGACGTGCAGTGCATCTGTTGGCAGCCTAAAGCGTTTGTTTGTTAGACGCGAAGTAGGAACAGATTTTCATGAAATCTTTTTGCATACTCCGTCCACCCATTTATTTAACTTTTGGCATATGCATGCCCTCGAAGTCCCGTAGTTATTGACAGACAACCATAGACAAAAAAATGCACTCTTATTTTTTAATTTTAGTGAAGAGACGTGCTCTTTAGCTGCGGCATTTATCGAGTCAAGAGATTATGTAACAAAGATTATTCAAGTTGATAAATTTTGATACCTGTCTAATAAATTATAATGAAATTAAATAAATAAGAAATAATTATAATACATTATTATTGTTTATTATAATGAATCGTCGGATTCTTCTCCGTATGAACGGGAATCATCACTAGAATTTGGTTCGGTGAAATCGGTTGTTATAAAAAAATCGGAAACGCATTAGGACATCACTAATCGATTAGAATTCGAGCTGTCAAAAGTGAAATAAATGGTTGAACAGAGTATAATGGGTGTTTAAAAAAAGCACACTTGCATGTCACTACATAATTCTGTTTTAATTTAAACACACCATCCGACAATGATAACTGTTTCTTGTCTGTAAATCCGGTCAGGGAATATTTGGTATTTTTAAATCAACAAAACTTCAAAATTTTTATGAAATCTAATTTTTTTCTGTCACTAATTTCTTGTTTTATTATACAGGATATTTTGCAAATGGACCGACAAAATACTCCGTGTCACTGTAATGGAAATAGGATTTTTTTTACTATTTCTATGTAATTACACGAAATAAAGACAACTTTACATCGCAATAACTTTTATGTTTGTGGTAATAATATTACAATAGTATTTTATGCAATCGTTGCATAATGAGGGTTCTTAAATTCGAGAACCGTGTTTAGGTCACGAGGCTTTGCCGAGTGGTAAGTAATAAGTACGAATTTTTAAGACCCAATTATGTAACGATTGCATGCACAAAACCTTTACTACAAGTAAATAAAATAGTCAAACACTTCCAATCTTTAATGTTTATTTTGTGAACAATCCATGACTAAAAACTCAATAAATTTTCACCCATTTGTTTGGGTAGGCAAAGGTGCCACCATAAAACCTCTTCGTATATTTAGACGAAAGCCATACAAACGCTACAAAACAAAAAAACCAGAACAGAAGTGGTCAAGTGAGGCCTAAGTTTTAATCAAATGTTTTTTATAAAGGTTTATGGCACGGTTACAAGAGCTTTAGGACAGTTTAACTACTCAGGAAGCAGTAGAGCGTTTAATTAGCAAAAATATACTTTAAAAATAGACTTACTTTTTTGGAAATTTTGTATGGTTCTGTTTATAATGAAATTTTTTCAGTTCAGTAGCAAGTACCATGGACAATGGAATTTTGATTCAGAACTAAAGTCGTGGTTTCCATCAAAAAAAGAATCATGAAAATCGGTTCACAAATACCGGAGTTATCGCGTAACATACATACACAAAAAAGTCGAATTGAGAACCTCCTCCTTTTTTGAAGTCGGTTAAAAAAACTAACGGATTTATATTACTTATGTAATGTACAACAAATCACGTAGTTGAACGTGTCGTTGTTTTTTTTTATTGAAAGACAAAATTAGGTGCACCCTGTGGTGACCATCGTCAAGTTCGAATTTCAAAAACCGTTTCCATGCTAGCGTGGATAAAACGCTTTTGCGCCCAGATTTCTAATGAGAAAGAAAGCCTTTCCGAGCTAATGAGATGAAAAATAAATCTATTTTTCACTTCACTAGCTCGAAAAGGCTATAATAATGAGGTGAAAAGTTGGGTGTTTTGCACGGCACCAAAGTTGTTTTGCGTCTCTGCTCCTCCGCTTGCTCGAGATTCAATACAAGCACTCGCGCCAAACAACAACTTGCAGCCTTGCATAGCAAATAACTATTGTTGTATTCTGTAATGTACTACTGTAGGGCTAGCACGACAGAGCGCCGCTTGCGCGAGACATAAAGTGCGAGATACTGCTACTCTCGCATTGAGATCCCGGGCATTATGTTGCACTCGCGCAAGTCCCGCCCTGGCTTGCTAGTCCTACTGTTCGAAATTAACCATAATTTTAAACAAATATTCTTAATCAAATTACTTGTGAACAAAATAATAGGGGTTAAAG